CTGGGGATTGGGGACCCCTGTCCTAGAGAGATGCTGTTCCTTAGAACAGGCACTGAAACAGAGGACACTCTTAGATCCCACAAGGTGACTCTACTCTGCCTGACAGAAGAGGCGTGGAGCATGCCAATCCTGCTAGTTCTGGGAGGTGAGTGAGACAGGTGATTCCAAAATAACTTGGCGCTGTGCTGTGTAGGTGATAAAGTAAGTGATAGCCGGCACCTTGAATTGTATCCAGAATTTGCTGAAAGTCATTGTGGCTCATGGAACAGAAGTCTTTCGTGAGCATATTGTGATATCTCCCAAAAAGTCCATGATGCTGCATTCTGCACTAGTTGTGAAACATCTTCAAGAGCATCCATACATAGGGTGCATTACAGTAATCGAACCGGGGGACAACTAAGGCATGAATCACTGTAAGAGCGTCTCAGTCCAGAAATGAGTGCAATTGACACACAAGGCAAAGAGTTGTGAAAAGGCCCTCCTAGTCAAAGAAGCCTCCTTCTCTTTTAGCAGAATCCTTGAATCCAGGAGGACCCCCAAATTGCAAACCAGCTCCATCTGGGGAAGTGCAATCCCGCTCAGAGCCAAAGATGGAAAAATCTCAGGATCTGGAAGGTTAAGGTGCTAACTGTAGCTGCTTGATCTTGCCAGGGTTGAACTGAAGCCTATTCTTGCCCAGACATCCCCCATGGATCCAGACATTGGGAAAGAACCTTGATGGCATCACTTGATCAGTCTGGAGCAGAGATGTATGATTTGGTATCATCTGTATGACACAGTATAACCCTGTGCCAGCAGCTTCATGTAGATTGTAAACAGAAACAAGAGATGGTTAGAGCTCTGATGAACATCACAAAGCAAGGGCATCAGGCTCACATTTCCCCAGCCCATCAACACCAAGAGAAAGGAGGAAAAAACACTGTGCCTCTCACTTCCAGTCCCCTGAGCTGGTCCAGAAAGATAACTATAACCAAATAGTATTGAAAGCTGGTGAGAGATCAAGGAGGACAGGGTGGATGTACTGCTCCCATCTCAAGCACAGCAGAGGTCATTGGTAAGCATAATCAATGCCATCTCAAGGCTGTAACCAACCTAAAAGAGGGAGGTTAGAGACTGGATGGAAGACAATCTGCTCTTTTCTGTGTTACAGTTCAGTGAAAGTTTTAAAAAAGTTAACGTGTCTCTTAAGCTTCCTCACTTTAAACCAGTGTTTCTCAACCTTGACAATTTTAAGGCATGTGGACTTCAACTCCCAGAATTCCACAGCCAGCATTGCTGGCTGTGGAATTCTGGGAGTTGAAGTCCACATGCCTTAAAATTGTCAAGGTTGAGAAACACTGCTTTAAACAAAACCTGCTTTCTTCTTTTTATTCTTACGCCTTGTTTGCCTATCCTTGTTACCTCCCTACCCAAACAGATAAGACTAGATTAATGCATGGTTAATTCCTGAGTTGCTACTGCTCCTATTACCTTCACACTTGCCTACAAATTACTTTTAGTGTTCTAATTAACAGTTTTAATTGATTTCAGTGGCTGTTATTTCTCAATGTTGTTGTTTTTAATTATGTAAGCTGCCCTGAGTAACTTAGGTGAGTAAGGCAGCAACATAAATTGAATTAAGTATAAGTTATTCAATAAGTTGAATAAATAAAGTAAATAAACTTCAAATATTAGTCTATAATGTTTATACTTCAAATAGCAGCCTATCATTTTAAAATATATTTTTGTGTGTTTAGCTCCTACTTTTAATTATATCGAGTTTTATCAAACCGGCCATGTCAAAAATATTGAGAGAATTGCTAATAGTGAGAGAATGTGAATCAAATTTCACCCCTTTTTTAATAGCTTCACCTATTTCTTTGCAGAGGCGTTTCTGAATGTGAGTTCTAATCTAAGTACACTGTAATAATTATATAGCTCATAACTCAACAACAATTGTCTAATATTTAAGGGGCTGCTACCAAGAAGAGGGGGTCAACCTATTCTCCAAATCACCCGAAGTCAGGACAAGAAGCAATGGATGGAAACTAATCAAGGAGAGGTTCAACCTAGAACTAAGAAAAAAAAAATCCTGACAGTGAGAACAATTTACTAGTGAAGCAACTTGCCTCCAAAAGTTGTGGGTGCTCCAACACTGGAGGTTTTTAAGGAAAGATTTGATAACCATTTGTCTGAAATGTTATAGGGTTTCCTGCTTGAGCAGGGGGTTGGACTAGAAGATCTCCAAGGTCCCTTCCAACTCTGTTATTCTGTTATACTCCATATTTATATCTAGAACAGTGATGGCGAACCTTTTAGAGACCGAGTGCCCAAAAACTGGCCCCACCCCTGCTCCACCTCCTGCCCCACCCCGTCCCCCACTCCACCTGCCCGCAGGGCCACTCACCGCCTCCAGGGCCTGCTGCAGATCGCCCAGGCAGCCCAGCAGCGCCATGGTGGCCACACCCTCTGCCCACACCCCGCAGCATCAACTGTGCGGGATGGGCCGTGAGGGCAGAGTCTTGTCTATGCTGCCTGGCTACCATGTCCTTGGCTGCGCTGCTCCATGTGGGTCACGCTCAGGGGCAACTCTCCTCCAGGGGGGCTGCCGGTGAGGAGGAGGTCATGGGGGGAGGCAAGGCTGGGGCAACGGCACATGTGCCCACAGAGAGGGCTCCGAGTGCCGCCTCTGGCACCCGTGCCATAGGTTCGCCACCACTGATCTAGACAGTGCCCTGTCCTTGTTATGGCAAGTGTGGACCTATATGTCTGAGCAATATTTTCTCTTTGGATACACCTAAGAGACCTTACACTTGGCAACCTTGTTTGAGAAGTGCATCCGCCACATTTCCGTTCTGTGTCCTTTCCTCTTATTTGGACATCTTCTTGTGGTTAAAAACAAGTTTACCTCACTTCCCAGTAGAAGCGAACCAAGACAGTAGAAGGCAATCAAGCTCAGAGAGCACCAAGGCCTACACAGTAAGATAGCTTATATTGGAAAGCATTTGAAATTGAGTATGAATTATAGGTAATCGTGAGTTAAACCATAGTAACGGCCTGAAATTTCTATTGTGAAGCAGCGTGGTTGTAAAGAGCTATATCACATGACATCACTCCTTAATTGCTGCTGTTAAGTGAGGATTGCAAGTCGTTAAGCGAGTCCTGGGTGGTTTGCAAGCAGGCAAGTAAGGCGGGCATCTGATGCAGAATGGGAAAGGGTGTGCAAGTGGCTTGCGCAACACAAGTGCAGTGGAGCCAGGTGTGACTGCTGTGAGCAACTGATCAGAGCAACCTGTGAGATTTCCTGCCGACTTCCTCGTTGATTTTGCTTATGGGAAGCCAGCAGGGATTTTCGGAAATAGTGATCATATGACCGCAAGACGCTGCAACGTTGTAAGTGTGAGCTGGTTGCCAAGAAGCCAGATCAGGATCACATGACATATTATGAGAGCTGGAACTTCAAGAACCAGTTGTCTTTTTTTCCCCCCCAACACCTTCATAATTTTGAACAATTGCTCAGTAAGTGAGGCTGTAATTCTCTTCTCTCTTTTGTGGAGAAGAGCTGGGTTTGGCACTCATTGGAAAGTCTCTTACCCCTGTACCCATGGGTACCAAAGGGTGTGGAGGAATCCTCCAGTCTTGGAAGTTAACACCAAGCAAGCTAAGATACTGGAAAAATTAAGTAATTAAAAATGTTCAAATAGTGTAAAACGACAATGTTTTCTTCTCAGGACAATGACTTTACTACAGCTCTAAATAACTCGACAGCCTTCGTCTAACTTTCCAATGTTCTGTTGGAAACATTTTGAATCATTTAAACATAACGTAGTTCAGTGAAAATATAATTTTATGGGTACATGGATGTTGATAAAGCTGTCCAAATAAAGTTGTTGTATATATTTAAGATTGTTTAATGTGAGGAGTCACTCTCTTAATCACTTTGTTGTAATGGTACTGGAAGAAACTCTCCTTTTCTCTCTCTCTCTGGGGTTAGTTTGAAGTTCTACAATAAATACAGTGAGGACAATTATTTTTCTATAAGACGCACCCTTGTGTAAGACGCTCTGGCATGCGAGTGTCTCCGCGCCGATCAACTGAGCTGGCCGGAAGTTCGGCCGGCCGACAATCTTGCCCCCTCCCCCCTCCCGTTAGTGGGAAGCCCACAGGGGCTTGACACCTGCACCAGGCGGCATGGCAGCGGCATGTAAAGAATCCACACAGGCATGCCCTGGGCTGCGGAGGTTACCATTATTTTTTCGTGTATAAGACGCTGCACTTGTATAAGACGCATCTGATTTTTGAACAAGATGTTTGCAGGAAAAAATAGCGTCTTATACACTGAAAAATACAGTAACCAGTGGAACAGCTTACCTTCAGACGTTGTGTGGGTGCTTCATCACTAGAGGTTTTTAAGAAGAGACTGGACAGCCAACTTGTCTGAAATGGTATAGGGTCTCCTGCTTGAGCAGGGGCTGGACTAGAAGACCTCCAAGGTCCCTTCCAGTTCTATTCTGATTCATTATATTGTGATTAATTAAATGTAAAATACAGCAGCAATAGAAGAGAGACAACGCAGTATCTAGTTTTGTCATGGAAGATTTTCAACAAACAATAAACTGAGAAAACTAAATCCCAGTTTTCATTTCAGATCTCTTTAGAACTCCTAGAATATTGTGGCAATTTTGTAATATACTAAAACTGTTTTATATGATGTGGCCAGTTTTTCCACAATCTTGTTGATGAGAAAGTCTTGTCATGATAATGATTACTGAGCAGACGTTCAGGCCAGTTCACTGGAATTGGGTTAAATGGATTTATAATCCAACGAAGGCTAGTTAATAGTTGCAGTGCTATGCTTGAGCTGAAACGAAGGCAGTAACTGCAGTACAATATGTAGCATTTGGGAATGGAAATAATGCACATTATTGAAGAGAAAAAGAAAAGCTAAATAGATTGGAATTGTTTTCAGTGTTTCTGATTTTTGCATCTTCTTCCTAACCCAAATCTTCCTTGTTTTCCAGCTGGTTGGTCTACTACTGATTGGAGTGGCTGCCTGGGGTAAAGAATTTGGAATCGTTCCCAGCCTGAACATCATCGGAGGGGTCATTGCTGTGGGTTTCTTCCTGCTTCTCATCGCCATTGTGGGACTCATTGGTGCTATCAACCATCACCAAGTCATGCTTTTCTTTGTATCCTTCTGTGCTATTGGCAAAGCAGAATTCATTGCCTGTCTCCTGAAGTCTACCTGGCAAAAATAGATATGTGAGAATTCCACCAGATGTGTTGTTGGCATGACTGGAGTTGAAATTGCCAATAATAATAATAATAATAATAATAATAATAATAATAATAATAATAATAATAATAATAATAATAATAATAATAATAATAATAAAGTTGGAAGGGACCTTGGAGGTCATCTAGTCCAACCCCCTTCTCAAGCAGAAAACCCTATACCATTTCGGACAAATGGCTGTCCAGTCTCCTCTTAAAAACGTCCAGTGTTGGAGCATTAACCGCTTCTGGAGGCAGGTTGTTCCACTGGTTAATTGTTCTAACTGTCAGGAAGTTTCTCCTTAGTTCTAGGTTGCTTCTCTCCTTGATCAGTTTCCATCCGTTGCTTCTTGTCCTGCCTTCAGGCATCTTGGAGAATAGCTTGACTCCCTCTTCTTTGTGGCAGCCCCTGAGATATTGGAACACTGCTATCATGTCCCCCCCTCGTCCTTTTCTTCATTAAACTAGACATACCCAATTCCAGCAATATTGTGGACTGCCTACCGTGTTTCCCTGAAAGTAAGACCTACACCCAAAATAAGCCCTAGCTTGATATTTAGGGGTGGGCCTAATATAAGCCCTACCCCCAAAATAAGCCCAGGGAAACACGGTATTATAAAAGTGAGAACTTGCGACTGTTTAGATCTTGATGAGCTACAATTCCCATTGCACCACTACTATGCTAGGTGAGAGTTTATTTAAGGGAGTGGCAGGAAGATAGATATGTTGGTGAAATATATTTGTAAGTTTTCCTCACTTTCACTTGGGCACTTGAGGCTACCAAATAGATAATATTTTTTCTGTATTGAGAATAATAGCTGGCCTTCCCTTAATTCCAAGGACTCTGCTCCTGGAGCTTTCTTCTCTTTTTGTCACGTTATGAAAAATGTGAATCTGTTAATGAAAATGAGTAGTTAAAAAGTCATGCCTTCAGGCAAGAATTAAAATTTGATTATGATTTAGTCCAAGGGTAGGCAACCTTGGCTCTTTTATGACTCGTGGACTTCAACTCCCAGAATTCCTGAACCAGCCATGCTGAGGGGAAAGGGAGAGGTTTCCATGCTGAGCCATGCTGGCTCAGGAATTCTGGGAGTTGAAGTCCACGAGTCATAAAAGAACCAAGGTTGCCTACCTCTGATCTAGTCCCTTCCAGCCCTCAGATCATTATAACATATAAGTTGATGAATAAGTCTGTGTCTGGGTACAACTGTAGAGCATTACAGCAAAAAAATCTATTATAAAACAATGTATGCAAACTTAGAAAACAAAAAGAGGCCACAAGTAAACGTTATGTTTTAGGTTGCTTTTTTTTTTTTTGCACTCCTGCCTTTATGTTTTATGGAAACGAACTAAGCCAATTGACATAGAAATCCAGACTGACTCTTGAGCTGCAGCTGCAGCGGAGTGGTGCAGTTTTGTTTCTTAGAAAGGCTGGGTTTTGTTTTTTGTTTTTAAGAAAAGGGGAATGACTTCAAAAGAACCTTTCGGAGTGTTTCAAGGTCGTAGTGTCTGTGCAGAGCCTGGTTGTCAGCATTACTAAAACCACAAAAATCTGAGAAGAAGCCTTTTGAAACATTGTGGCTGGATGTTGACCATTCAAAATCTGCTTCGGAAGCATAACTCACCTTGTTTTATCGTAACAACCTCCTCCTACTTCCAACAGCCAATTTCTGGGGTTTTTTTTTGTGGATTTCTCAACAGAATTAGGCTGCTCATGAATGAATGAGAGGCAGTGTAAGTGGTATCAAGCAACTTCCTTATTTGCCCAGAAAACCTGAAGTGAGAAATACTGATGTAAGGCAACAGGAAATAAGAGTCAATGTTGCTGTGTATGCTGAGACACTTTAAACCAAAAATAGTCACCTTTGAATTCGGCTCAGCAATAGTTAGCCAACAAAGGGATATACAGGAAAGGGTCTAGAAAAGCTGACGCCTTTTTTCTTTTGCAATAATAGCGGAGAGGAAAATGTCAGCTGCAAAGTCTGGATTGGTTTCTGGGTTTTCTGGATTCTGATTTGCATAGGAGACCCATGATTGATTTAAGAGTTTACTAATGAGTAGGGCAAAAATATCCTTCTCTTGCTGTCATCCTTAGGAAACCACTGTCATTCAGATTAGCACTCTTAGCTGAACAGTAGAGGCGGTCCTCAGCTTACAACAGTTCATTTAGTGACCGTCAAAGTTACAGTGGCACTGAAAAATGTGACTTACGACCATTTTCAACAGTTACACCCTTTGCAGCATCCCCATGATCATGTGAACAAAATTCAGATGCTTGGCAACTACTCATATTTACGACAGTTGCAGCGTCCTGAGGTCATGTGATTCTCTTTTACAACCTTCAGACAAGCAAAGTCAATGGGGAAGCCAGATTCACCTAACTTGTCAACTGCAGTGATTCACTGAACAACTGTGGCAAGCAAGGTCGTAAAATGAGGCAAAACTCAATAAATGTCTCACTTAGCTGCAGAAATTTTGGGCTCAGTTGTGGTTGTAAGTTGAGGACTAACTAGTTTATCCTCATGAACAACAGCTTTGATTGTTTAAAATATCCTGTGTACCTGGACTCCTAATGTCAAACAATGCATTCCCAATCTTTAAAAAGTATTCCCAGTTTTATAGACTTCTTGGAAGAATCTACACTACTTTTGAGAATATTTTGCTTCCTGTTAATTTTCTTCCTGTAAATATCATTTTATCTGTAACTCACGTTTTATTTGCTGTTAACAAACTCTATATTTTCCCCGAGATGTTCCTTAATTGTGTCTTCAGTATATGATAATTCTAGGGCTAATCTTTATTTTCCAGTTTGGAATTTCCTGTGCATGCCTGACACTAAAGCCACATAAGCAAGTAAGTCTGCCTTTCTGTCTGAGTTTCGTTCAGTTTTTCTGGCATATTTAGTCTGCACCGAAGCAAATTTACTTTCAGAAAACGGCCTTCGTGTTTATTCCCATCATTTAAACAAACAAAGGAACAAAAAATGGAGCCACTTGCAAGATATCCCAACCCCATGAGCAGGGTGAGGTTTGTGACTTCCACCCCATTTGCTTTGATCTCTTAGACGTCTTGATACAAATAGAGATACTGAATGTGGAAATTGTGATTTGGCAACTTTAAGGAAAGGAACTGTTAAAACCATTCCTTGTTGGTCAACAAAAGTATAACCATAGGGTAAATTTCCTCTTTGTTTTCCAAGCTTAATAACAGGAAGACTTTTTTTTCTTGGCCCAAGCAGCATGTTAATCTTGCATTTGTCTCTGTGTACTTGCGTGTGTGTATGCGTGTGTTCAGCATGTGCTTCAGCCCAATTGTGTAGCTGCTTAATTGTCCACCCAGTTTAATATATGTATATATACCACTGAGTTTCCAGCAAAGGTTCAAATTGCTGAAAAGATCGGTAGGTTAAACCTCGTCTCGTCCTTTCCCAATAGTGTTGTTGCATGTTGCATTCACACAGTACCCTGAATCCAATACCTGGGATTGTGAAATATAATAGTTCTATTCATGGAATGTGCTGTGGCCAAACAAATCACATTAAGCAGAAGATCTGTTGGTTTGTGCAACATGTTAAGGTAATGACTGACTTCCCACAACATAATGAACAGTAAACTGTTGAACCACATTTAGTCTAACATGTGGAACAAATGCAGTCAGCAAGTGTGTTTGCTTTCTTTACATTTAATTTCACTTTTGTTGTTTAATCCAATTAAGTTTATATTTTGCGCAAGCGTTCCCTAACTTCCTGTTCCTCAAATGCATTATTAGACAGTTCCCGAAATTTCTTGTGCTGTAACCACTTGGAAATTCTGGGGTTGTGCAATGCATCAGGAGGAAGACTGGTTGGAGAATATGCCTGAGGTGCTTTTTCACAAACATTTCCCCTCAAGGTACCTAAGTCATATAGGTGGTCCTCAATTTACGACCATAATTGAGCCCAGAATTATGGTTGTAGGCTGGGCCAGTTGTTAAGCAGGTCACCATGTGACTGCCTGATTTTGCGTCCTTTTTTGACTCTGAATTCAGATCATACATAGTCCTGGGGAAATCTGCTGTAAACTCAGTTGCTAAGGGACTGGTCATAAATCGAGGACTACCTGTAGAAGATCAAAATTCAGCTTCCTTGGCTAGATGGACAAAAATTAAGAAGCCCTTATGTCACAACACTGAAAATTCCATTTTATGACACTGGCCTTTCCAAGTCTTTCTCCCTTCTCTCTCTGTCCTTCCAGGAAAGACTTTTGAGCGGTACCTGGAAATTGCTGAATGACAACACCAGGATATCATTGGAAAACAGCTTAAATTGCTGTGGGCTATTCAACAACACTGAGTCTGCTGAGCTATTTAAGAGCGATGTTGACAATTGCAGTGCAGTAAGTGTACACTTTGGGATTCTTTGCCTTATGGATGAGATATTTAACTTGTAAAAGATATATGCTCTAATTAAAGAGGTTTAGCACACTGGAAATGATGAGTAAGGATTCAGGTGTACTTGAGACTTTGAGCTGTTGGCTCATTTCCCAAAGCATCCAAGGCTGATACAAATTAGCTACAGCAACCAAGATAATTTGAAAAATGAGGTTCCTATGCACTAGAATTGGGCCGTATCTATTGCTTCAGTACAGGGAATTTTAAAGAATAAACCACTCCCAATTTCTAATGTATGATAGCTATGCTTTTAACTCAAAAATTAAGCATGCAATTAAAACCTTTCCTTTGAGAAAAGGATACTTAGAGAACTAAGAAGATTTCATATTAAATTCTTCTAGATGAGAGCAAAACATGTGTAAGAAAAATAGCCCTGGTTTAAGGAAGCTTATATGAAAGCAAGCCCCATATATTTATTTCGTGACCTTCTGACAAGCAAAGTCAATGGGGAAGCCAGATTCACTTAACAACTATGTTACAAACTTACTTACTGCAGTGATTCACTTAGCAACTGTGGCAAGAAAGGTCGTAAAGTGGGGCAAAATCCACTTAACAACAGTCTTGCTTAGCAAGGGAAATTGTGGAGTCAATTGTGAGGACAATCTGTAGTAAGGGGCTGTAACAATGGAAAAACCAAACAGTTCTTCTATTTGGCTTTTTTCCACCCTTCATATTTTTACTCTTCCTAATTTTTCACCACCCTAAAGATAAGACTTTCTACCTCAAGTCCTTCCAGATATTCCCATGCAATTCCCATTTGGGCCAGCAAAGCTAGTCATACAAGATGCAGGGTTGATAGTTTTGTTTTGTTTTTTTTAGTTCCTTTGCTTGTGGCTCATTTCCTCTTTCAGCGATCTAGATTTAAAAACAGAAATCTCTTTTCTGTTCTTAGGCTCCTTCAGTTGAAGCAATTATCTAAATTACCATCTCCAACTGTGTGTCTCTGAATGTGATTATGGTGCTCTCCAGCGTTATTGCCTCATTTCATGAGGGTGAGGGACCCAGGGCTGCCATTTCAACAGGCCTGCTTGTTCCCCACTGTTGCTTCAAGTGTTAGTGACTTATTTTCCCGCTAAACGTTTTAGGAAAAATTCACAGAGAACCCAAGCAAACTGTGTTTTTAGGAAAGCTTGTCTGCCTTTTCAGGTTTTCTTAGTAAGGACTCCTCGGAACCCAAATTGAAACATCCTGGATTAGAGCATTAGTCATTCAGTTTTTAAAAAATGGCTATACGTGACATTCTGTCTACTTGTGAGCATTTGTCCCTATATATGTTATTGCTCTGTATAAAATACCACGCATAATATAAAATAACGATCTTCCTTTCCAGCAATTTTTCAGCAGAAGTGATTCTTCCGTTCAATAGAAAGATGTAAAACAAGGCTGGGCAATGTGTTTGGCAGCTAGTTCCAACATTGCTTACATACTTTGTGTTAACTAGGACCGATGTGCTCTTAATCATTTATTACTCACAATTGTATATTAAATGCACTCAGACTGCAAGATTGTAACTGTTGTACACTAAGCAAGGTTTCTTTTAATCATGATTGGTTACACATAACAGTAATCTCAGGATTGGAGACGTTTTGAATTTTGAAAGTATGCCTCGTATTCACTAATTTCTGCTAGTACAAAGTATATATTTATCAGAAACACCTTCCTACGGGCCCAAATGAGGATGGTGGTGGTGGTGAGGATGGCAGAAAAGATTGTTGGTAGTTCACTTCCATGAATCCAGGACATGGCATTTGAGCCATGCTTGAGCAGGGTCCACAGGACTGTCTGGGATGCTAAACATCCTCTTCATGACCTGTTTTCCTTGTTACCTTCTTAGAGGAGGCTCCGTGATATCCAAAGCAGAACATCCAGATTCAGTCACAGTTTTGTTCCATATAACATCTCTGCTGTGTATTCAAAATGGACAGTGATTAATATATATATATGTATATTTATGCATGGTATAGGTCAGAGGTAGGCAACCTTGGCTCTTTTATGACTTGTGGACTTCAACTCCCAGAATTCCTGAGCCAGCATGGCTCAGCAGGGAAACCTCTCCCTTTTACCTCAGCATGGCTGACTCAGGAATTCTGGGAGTTGAAGTCCACAAGTCATAAAAGAGCCAAGGTGTCCTACCCCTGGTATAGATATATACATATGTATGTAGCATGTGTATATGTGTATTATGTGTATGGGTAGATATATTCTCTCTTTTGAGAGCAGGCAACAGAATTTCATTTTAAAGTGTGCCATTGTGCCCACAGTAAAAAAAATGACAGTACAGGTTATTTTCTCTTATCTTAAATCTATTGCTGCACTAAAAGATGAAGCTGGAGGATGCTGCCTTCCTTTACAGCATGCTATCCTTCCTTTTTCAGGAGCTTTGTTTTAAAGTTAATTAGGACTAAGCAGCTTGTTGTCCAGGACATTACTTTCTAATCCATAAGAGATGGGTTTGTTCATTTAATTACTTTATTTGCATACTGTCCATTCCCAAAGACTCTGGGTGGTTAACAGTCTAATTATAAAAGAAAATGACATCCAGAAAGGAAAAAAATAGTCCCAAATTATACATCAACAAAAATAACAAAATCAGAAATATATATATAAAAAACCCAGAAAATAAAAAGTCATGTAGTTGCAATCCTCACCTTATTCAGAAGAGACAGGAGTGGTTGTGCTCCCCCAATTCTAGTTTCTCCATATCATTCACAAGTGCAACCAAAGCAGTTTCCATGCTGTACTCTGGCCTATAACCTGACTACCAAGGGTCTAAATAACATTTTCTCTAGATTCTCTGGATTTGCAGAGCCACTATTTTCTCTAGAATCTTTCCTAGATTATAGATCTAAATTATCCGAAGCAATAAAATCAAGTCAAAGTTCTTTGAACAGAGGGCATACCGCACCCTTTTTTCCCCAAAGGTTACAGGTATGGGTCCTCACTTGGAGAAGAATGTATTACTCTTCAAATCCAGCTTTCTGCCCCTTTATGGGAGGCCCTAACCAGCCCTGAGGGAAGCGGTGAAGCTGACATTCCAGATATTTCCTCAAGATTCAAAATGATCCCAGATCATATGACAAGATAAAAGTTCAGTCATCTCCATTCTCCTACTGAAATATAACTGCTCTGGAATCTGGTTAGCTATCTACAAAATACCATGAGGATTCCTCATAGCAGCCATTGAAATGGTTGTGACTATTAAAAGGATCAAGTCAGATTTATTGTTATTTATTTTAAACACTCTGCAGCATCCATTAGGCACTTGGGTTAATAGGCCTTTTCCCACTGAGGTGGTGGTTCCATCGTAGAACTCCCCACCAATCAAAGAGCAGATTCTCCACAACAGGCAAAGGTCATGAGTCAGATCATATTGAGACAAAGTACAAATCTAACATGTTATTTTTTTTTTCATATGCATTAGGCCCTGATACACGGGGTCAGGTCCATAATTGTCATGGCAGCCATTTGCTCCTGACCCATACCATGAACCTTGTCAAGGAAAGGCAGGCTGAAATCTCCCAAAACTACCAGCTTGGGGTACTCCATTTCCACCCCAGCAATAAGGTCTATTAGCTCTGACATGGTTGCTATTTTGTAGGAGAAGGAATAATACAGGAGGAATAAACCTATTCGGCTCAAACAAGGATTGGTGCCTGGCTATTTGCAGAGTAATGTCACTTGATACTGACAGAATCTCTACTTACCTTCCTGCATGTCAGGACTCTCGCTAGTTGCAAACTCAAAATCCAGGATTGGCAGCTTTCCAAGAGAAGTACATGACCTCTTCCTCCCACTTAGGTTTCAGTGATGGAAACAACAAGTGTCAGGCATCCTTATTTATTTATTAAATTAATTTATATATCTGCCCAACTCTCGTATACCAATTTTTATTTTTTTTTAAGAAATTTTATTTATTTTTTCAATCATAAAAAACAATCACAAGTAAACACAATAACCAATCAATAACCCCCCACCCCGCCCCCGGACTCCCCAAACCTAATCCCAGAATAATATTCATATAAAAGTAAACAAATACTAATATCTCTAACTCTACAAAATATCTTAATCTACAAGAAAAGATAGTAGAAATAAACCAACTTAAAAAATTCTAAAAACCTAACTTATATTCTACCACTTTATGTTTCTTTTGAATATAAACAATCCATCTTCCCCATAT